CATACAGCTAGAGGACACTAAAATTACGACAGGATAGTTTCAAGTTCTTTAAAGAAAACCCAAGGAGTGGGAAGCCCTTTCTAAGGACTAAAAATGCCACAGTCAAAAGGGAAGTGAAGAAATAATAAAAAATACACTGTTATTAAGGGCACACTAAAAAATTAGAGAATAATCTAGTGTACTCTCCTGGAGCTTTTCTTTTCCCTAAAAGGGTCTAGCCATGGAAAAAACCTGCAAATAATTATAAAAAGTAGCAAAGACAACAGGAATTGCTGATGAAGTAAAATAAGTACAAAAGTGAAGTGAAATCCTGCAGACAATAGAAAAGTAGAAGGGAAGTGAGATTTTTTTTCCCCCTAGTAGTCTAAAAGGAAAAGAGAGATAATGGATGAAATAGGATGTCTCTGAAACACAGAATGCAAATGATAATCAAGAGCCCTGACATGGCAAAATTCCTATGTAAATAGTTCTTTATTTCTTTAGGAAGGAAGCAGAACTAAAGATACACCCAGACCCAAATTCAAGGAAGAAGATGGGAAGCTCAGAGGAAAAATCTGCAATAAGGAGATGATAAATATTTATTTACCTATCTGTAATAATTTCAGATCTTTAACATTAGATGAGATTCCTGAAGGATTATGAGTTTCATCTAATACCTGTTGAAATGAAGTGGCTATTTGTCAGTGGAACTGATAGATGTTAAATCCACTATTTGCAAATTAAATATTTGAAAAAGAAGCACTGAATCAGGGAAAGACATAATATCTTCTGATTAAAATAAAAGGAGAGAATGAGCTAAATAATGAGCCTGAGCAGTTTTTCACTAGAAGAACACAAGCAGGTGTTGGCTTAAAGGTGTTGGCTTTTCATCTGGGAAGCTCGTGAGAAATGGGAAGCACTGATCAGGATCAAGTGGAAAGGGAATAACAACATATTTGGGTCTGTAAAATGATGGCGAAAGGAGAGTCAGTTCTTCATTCATTCTACTAAGTTTTGCTTATCAATGTGCAAACATCCATAGATGACAAAGTGTTCACATGCCCTGTTCCAGTAAAGCTATGAAATCATACATTCAGAGTGCGATCTGGCTTCCTATATCACAAGCTATTACATTTCACACAGTCAATCATATATTAAGTTAATTATTTGCCCATTATTAAATAATAACTTGTGTTTTGCCACAGCACATTTTCCAGAAATGCATGACCTGAAGACATCAAGAAATGAAGAATTCATTCCTTTGACAGTTTGTTCCAGTGGTTAATCCCCTTCAGGCTTAACTAATGAGTACCCAATTCTAATTTGAATTTATCTGGCTTTAACTTCCAGCCACTGGTTCACATTATGTTTGTTTGCCTAGACAGAAGAGCCTTTATGGCTTTGTGTTTTCCTTCCAATGTACTCACCCACTTTAGTCTGGTCACCTCTGTGTGGTCTAAACAAGAGGAGTTCATTAACACTTACAAGAGGGTTAAGACCAGGATATCTTGGGTTTAGTTTTTTCTGCACATATTCCCATTTTCCACATTAAAAATACAGACACCAGAATTATTCTGTGTAGCTCTTGTTTTCACCTCTGTGTTCTCATTCAGTTCTTTTTTGTCTGCACATTGATGATACACATTAGTCTTTTTTTGCTGCTGAATCAGACATTGCAGTTCTTGTTCTCCTGCTGTTTAGTATAAACATTAAATCCTCTTTCTGAGTCAGAGTATCCAGGAGCCAGTCTACAGAATGTGGACACAGCTTGCATTATCATTTTACATTTTGTTGACCTAAAATGCCATTTATTTGAATGAGTCCTAGTGTTCTTTTTTAATGAATCTTGTACACTATTAAGTCATATGCCTCATAAAAATCTGTAATCTCATTATATATGTTTGTTTGACAAGACATACTTACAGTAAAACTATTGTCACTAGCATTAATTATATTCCTCTCCATCAAGCTTTTATGACTGTAATCCCATATCAGTATTTTTTTTTATTTTTCCTGAAACTGTTGTCAGGCTAGCCAAACAGTAATTACATAGATTATCTCATGTCTCTCTTTTTTCTTTAATATTTACATAATGTTAAAATTCTTTAAGTCTTGTAGTATTTTCCTGGGGTTTTGTTAAAAAAATTGTTAAAAATTTACAGAAAAGATCTGTTCAGCCAATTCTTGTAGAACTCTAGGGTATGAGTACATAGATTTAAATCATATTTAAAAATTCTAAGTTTTATGATATCGTATAGTACCACTTAGCTATTAATAAACTGCAAAATTCTTTACCCACACGTGATATAAGAAGATTAGACTCCTTCTCTCCAAACATGGAACCCCCAAAATATTTATGGGGGTTTTATTTCTTTATCATCATTAACAATCCCACAGTCTCAACCAGTAATTGACTTTGTATTTCTTTTCTTACTAATGTAGTTAGAAAATGGTTACTTACTTGTGTGAACTCTAGCTATGGATTTTTCCCTAGAGTGTTCATCAATATTCTTATAGTCCACAACTTCTACGTCATATCAATATTTGTTTACTCCTTTTCCCACTTATTACACTTTTTATTTCTAATTATTTTTTCTGTTCAGCTCTGAATCAGCACCAGATTCTAAGTACAGCATCTCTTTTTTTTTCAGTTGTGACACTTTGTCACATTTTATAGCAATTAAAGAGCTTCCTATTTTCATTCAAATTTTTCTACCTTTTTCCTCTCAACTCATGTCACTTGTAATCTTAGCAATAGAAAACAAACCATATGATTTCAAAGTATATACAGCAGGAAGCAAAAGATATGGAAAACAGTTTGCAGTTTCAAAGTCCACTGGTCAACTGCAGATAATAATTATAAACGAGCAAGTATTTAAAGGGAGACCAGGCAGTAAATGATAGAGGATGGTGTGAGATAATACTGTAATGCTGCTAGAAAGACTCTTAGCTCACATCCTCAGTTTTGTAATTCAAAACAGTTCAACAGGAACCTAGGAACAAGAGATGATTCCATTCAGATTTAGATTTTACCATTCATTAATCCTGTTTCAATAAGAAGCAACTGATTTTGTTCTAATTTAAATGTTTGGGGTAAGAACACTGAACACTGATTTCTTGAATTAGTAGTCTTCCAGGGTGATGATACCATCAGAAATACTGTAGTAATACCTGCCTTAGATTAGATGTGTTGTAAAAAGAACCACTAAAGGGATTTATCTTTGTATCCCCAACCTCAAAAAACTGAGATATTACACGGACACAGAAATGTTCGTGTTCAGAAGTGCAAAGGGACTGCTAACTTTCCAAGCCACTGAACAACTTCAAACAGCTGCCATTAAAAATAAAAATCCTTTCACACACTGAATATGAAATCTTTACCCCAAACACCCCAGATTTCCATGCAGTAAGTTACCCAGTGGCTCTGATATTTTATCAATGTCCTGCAATACATCCGTATACAGCAGTTTTACATAAAAGGGCAGGGAGGGGGGAAAGGCATCAGAGAAGACTTCTTCACTAAAAAGAAGTTTGATATAAGCCTTTTTTTTTTTTCCTGTAAGAATTTGTATTTCACAGTCTCCACCCTCCTGCTTAAGAATCTCAAAACAGGCATTTTTCTGGTTTACATTGAAACATGGGAGTCTTAAATATCTCTTCAGCTGCTTCCTAATGTTTGTTCCACAGGAAGGGAGTTAGTTCGTAGCATACTGTGCTTTGTTGTATCAGCAAAGCAGATAAGCTCAGCCTCTCTTCATCTCAAAAAGGGGCAGAGGAAGAGCACCAGGAGACAGTGTAGTACTTAAGGATTATTGTGAAGGTTTCAGGGAACGAGACGACTGTCAGGTAAGCAGAAAAGATCCTCTGCTATTTATGTTCCTGTGCTGCTTCCCAAACTGCTCAACTGTGTGTAAGCACTTTCTCTGGAATAGCTTATTTTTGCCTCGCACCTGTGGGTCAGTATTCCTCATAGTGAACTCAAGTTCTCCTAAATTCTATTATTATTCCTGCTTAGCACTTAAAATCTCATTTTGGCACTGAAAAGCTCTGTCTTGGGTACATTAACATACATTCAAGCGTTGGGTATTCCCTTCACACAGAAGATGGCCCATCTCCTGCAGTTCTACCTGACACGCTTGGGCTGGCGTCATATCGAAGGATCCGGCAGGGCTTTTTGCTGAAAATCTGACACTCCATGAGATTTGGCTACCTACATACTTTGATCAAACAACAAGTTTTTCCAGAGAGACCTTATCATATGAAAGGACAGGCTCGTCTTGAGTCCCCGCGCGTTTTTGGCTTTGGCAGATCCCTCCTTGGAATTCAGGAAGGCAGAAGATGCTTTTCAGGTTGAAAGGCATCATTTATAGTTTCTTGGGACTTTTCCTAGACTGTCTACATTAGCAATAAGTAGAAGGCCTGCAGCAATAAGTCTGATGGCACTAAATCAAAGCGTCCACAAAGCTTCTAAAAGTACGATTCTTCTGTGAGCTTCCTGTGAGCGCTTTCTCCCCTACCCTCACACTTCTTTTAATGTCTGTGGCTGAGCTTTTGGCACAGTCATTGACACACAGCTTTGTCAAGTTGCAAATTACAAACTAGAAGTGTGGAAATACAAAATTAAAAGCTTGTTTATCACAGAGCTTCTTTGCTAACATAGGGCATTGAAGTAAGTTATTCTGTGACAGGAGGGCTAGTGCTTTTTCAGTGTAACGGGGAAAATTAAATCCATGCCAGACGATGCAGTGCATCAACTCCAGGAAACTGCAGGAGTTTACAAGAGAAACTTCTCCTTTCATAGTGAAAATCTCAGAGACTCTACAAAATCCCTGTGGCATGGTGTTTAAAATGAGGTACTGCAAGAGTGGCGAATAAAAGTGGACATGCTCCGCTAATGAGGGCAAATTGTACCAGCTCTTTACAAAGAATAGCTGTGTTTCCACCCACGTCAAACCAGCTCTGCTGACAGATGGAAAGAGAGGGAAGAGAGGCTATGGCACTCTCTATTCCTTTCTACTCACCTGAGTCTGGCATCTCATAGACACTGTGGATCATATTGGGGCTAATCTTGCCGTTATTGAAAAAATGACAATGTTTTGTGTGAGAGCTGGATTGCCTAGGGGGAAAATGGCAGTATTCAAATTCTCACCACATGCCCAAACATAACATGCTCTCAGATTACATTGCTGTTCACTTTAACAGCAATAATATGATTGGCAATAGTAAGATTGTGGCCTTCATTAGGTTCAGGAGTTAAGACACTGTTTGTCATAAATGATAATATTTTACAACTACTACTTGAGGGTATTTGTATACAGATTCAGACTGCTGCAATGTATGGAGATCTGCTGCAATGTATGGAGAGCATCCATTTGGGGTTTCCAGTTTATAGGAAATTTTGTAGTTCTAATAGCATTTAACTAAGGCAGACATTTTTTCTAGCATTAGGCTTTTTCTCTTAAGTACTTTCTCTGGTAATTTAATAAATCATTCCTCATATCCTCATGTTTAAATTATATTCCTGTACAAACTGCATGCAGCAGAGTTGATGAGAGTGCAACAGTGCATACTTAACTCCCAAAGAGCTGGCGTCTCACACCCTCATTAGCAGAAATGTATCTAGAAGTTATAAGCACCTTTCTAAAGATACCTACAACACACCTCCCTGAGACTTACTCGCTTCCTGCTTTTCCCCAAAAGCAGCTGAAAGAGACACTCTGCACCTGCTTTCTCCTTGTGCTGACATCTGTTTCTAAATGAGAAAGGAGGCAATGCATGTTAAGCTGAAGGGACTTATTTTATTTATGTTTGCAGAGATTCTTGGCTTGAAAAATCAGTTCAGTTCCAGTGCCTTTCACCTTCCATGCTAAGCAGGGAGACAAAGAGAGCATTCATAGACACAACACATGTGACATGGGGCAGCCTAATGGCATTAGAACAGTTCAGTGAAACATTAATGAATTTACAGTGATGGCAGCACAACAGTGCTAGGATCTAATCTGCTCTGTGGTAAGTGGTTTTCATAAGTAACCTCAAACACAAATAACCAGTCAGGACTCTCACTAAAATCTCTTGGTTTCTGACAAAATATAATCAACTATTTTTCTTTTGAAACCAGTAGCCTTTCCCTTGTTTGCTGTGTTGCTGGTGTTTCTCCAGTCCGTGTCATATCTCAGACTGTTAAGACTTCACCTATTCTGAGCATCTGATATTTCAAATACATTTTTGCCCATAACCTCCTGTGCTTCATGCCACTAGCCTCAGCAGCTGCTTGGAACTGAGATCCAGAATCATACCTCCTTGCTGTCACATATCTGTGCCTACTCATGTGTTTGGGTGAGGTCGACATATAAGGTGTTAAATCGGATATCAGCAAGGTTCTTGAGATGAGGAAAGATGTGAGTGCTGGCTGTTTACACAAGATCTTATCCTGCCTCACTGACATCCAAAATGTTATTGCCATTGACTTAAATGAGCATGGTGACGGAGACAGCAACCTCTGCTAGAATGCCTATTTCCAGAATCCTAGAGAAGAATGTGTTAGGCTTGAGGAGATAAATATGTGGGGGAGCTTCTCTTCACAGTCTACCAAGAACGGTGGTCACACATTAGTATCCACAAAATTATTCACAAGATTGGTAATTTCATTGTAGACATTCCCTTGTAAGGAGAACTATGACTTCTGTATTTGAAGCAAAGCAAAGTAAAAGTACTGCCAGTATTTCTTAAATGTCTGTGGGTTTAAATGTATCCCATGACATTTCTCTGAAGAAATAGGTGCTCTTCCAAATGCCATAAAGATGCATATTCTGAATCACATTGTCCCTTCCCAGGAAAACGGGTAATGAAACAGGCAAGGAACACAAAGAGGTGAAAAAAGTGTCTGTCTGTAGGTTTTCAGGGATCTGCCAAATCTCACCAAAGCTGGATTTTCATTACTCAGAAGGCAGCAGGCTAGAGTGGGAAAAGATGACAGTAAGAAGTGGAGATACACTGCAGCCTGCGGTGTTCCTACAGGGGTAAATACAACAAAGCTTGCCTTACTTTAGTTTACTCCAGCACTAATACCAGTGAAACCAAGCAGTGTGGGGTGCAGTGCAGACCAGCTAATTGCATAAACACCCAAAGGTCTGGGAAGACTAGTATAGCACAGCAAAAGCCTTTGTGATCAGTACCCAAGTCAGCAAGATCAAAGGTAACTTTCATAGCAGCTAGAGTTTATTAGTACACCAGTAAGATCTGTAACTGTGCTCCAGATGCACTGTAGCAGTTTTCTTACTCAAAGAAAATGTGGGTTTAAGGACATTGTCATGAGAGAGGAACTACAGAAGCGAGGCAGAACAGAAGTGCATCCACAGTTTTATTTACTCCCCAGACTGCTTGTCAATTGATTTCAGTGGGACTTACCATGTCAGCAGGGATTGCTGGGAGGAGAAGACAAATCTGTCCTTTTTCTATCAGAAATGCTTTGAGAATCAGATTTACAAAAAAAGATTATATAGGATTGATTGCCTTCATTAGCCTCATTTCAGTAATATTATTAGCTATAAATCACAGGAAAGTTTCATATGGAATTACATTCTTATTAATATCTCAACATCTTCATCCCCCCACCAGTTATCATGTTCATTCATCATATGGTGGAAATCACAATAAAATTGTTTAACTGGATACTAATAGCATGGCTGTATCTTTCCATCTTCCATACCTTCTGTTAGCTTCTTTTTATCTTTCTTTGGTTTTAAATTCTTTTCTTGTCAAATTGTATTGCAGAGCACAGAATGCTTTTCTGGTCCTTACCATGGCTCATACATTAAAAATGCATTAGGGAAGATATCAACTACCTCGATTTGCTTTTAAATGTTGTCTTTCACTCATAGCCACTGAAAATAAGACTCATGAATTCATTAATCCTAAACAGAGTAAGTGGTGGTTCCTCATTTATTAAAAATGCAGGCCAAAACTTACTATTAAAAGGATGATATAAAAAAAAGTATAGTTTGCTTCATAAGCTTGATGTTCAAAATAATTCATCGATGATAATAATCATAACAATAATAGGAAGCTGAATAAAAAATAAAATTACCTTGTCTAATTCAAACCTGGAAAGAAAATTAATTTTCCTGAACAACCAAAAACTGCTTTCAGAAGCGGTTTTATCTCTGTGGAATTGGTGCAAAAGTCATGCTGTTACATATTCCTTCTGTTCAGTACCTAAAAGGCCGGGGGAGATATTTTTTCACACGTATTCCCAGCCCTGCTCTATTCCCTTTGTGCTTTGTGGGATCAGCACAAAAGGTCTAGAAAGTAGGCTGGAAAAATCAGCTGCGGGTTCTCCTTGAGAGAAGGGCTCCCCAGCTGCCGCAGTGCCAACACAGCCAGCTGTTGCCCACCAGCAGCTCGCTCCTCCTCTCCAGCATACTGGACGGACCAAGGTCATCATGCTCACTGTGCTCCTTACCTAGGGATGGGACAGCCCAGCCTCTAAGGACTGCAGCTGGTGAGGAGCGGCAAAGCATCTCCCATCTACCCCAGAATCAGGTGCCAAAAGGTCCCTGCTGTCTTTCTGGATGTCAGGATCCTGCGTGCACCTACACCCCACAGGTTTATACATGAGTTCTTTCTAACAGAACTTATTAACAGTAGAAAAGCATGGTTGTATCCATGACTATAACATGGGGCTTCCTACAGAGACAGCACTTTTTGTTTTATTATATAAGCAATGTTTTCACAGAATGGCTGAGGTTGGAAGGCACGTCTAGAGATCATCTAGTCCAAACTCCCTGCTCAAAGCAGGGTCAGCTAAAGCAGATTGCTCAAGGCCGTGTCCCATTGGGTTTTGAATATCTTCAAGGATGGAGACTCCACCACCTCTCTGGGCAAACTGTGCCAGTGTCTAACCACCCCCAGAGTAAAAAAAAAAAAATTTTCTTATGTTTAAGTGGAATTTCCTGTATTTCATTTGCCCCATTGCCTCTTGTCCTGTCACTGGGGACCACTGAGAAGAGCCTGGCTCCATCCTCTTTACCTACCTCCATCAGGTATTTATTCACTTTGATGAGATCCCCCTGAGCCTATTCTTCTCTTGGCTGAATAGTCCCAGCTCTCTCAGCCTTTCCTCATAGAACAGTTGCTCCAGTCCCTTAACCATCTTCATGGCCCTGTGCAGGACTCTCTCCAGTCGCTCTATATCTCTCTTTTACTGGACAGCCCAGAACAGGACAGAGCACTCCAGGTGTGGACTCACCAGCGCTGAGTAGAGGGGCAGGATCACCTCCCTCGACCTGCTGGCAACACTCCTCCTAGTGCAGTCCAGGAGGCTGTTGGCCTTCTTTGTTGCATGGGTGCATTTCTGGCCTACACTCAACTTGGTGAACAACCCTCAGGTCCTTTTTATTAAAGCTACTTTCCAGCTGGTTGACCCCACAGCTTCTACTGGTACCTGGAGTTGTTCCTTTCCAGGGGCAGGACTTGACATATCCCTTTTTTTAACTTCTTGAGGTTCCTGTCAGCCTGTTTCTCCAGCCACAAACATTTGGTGAAGCAGCCACTCCTCCCAGTTTTATATCATCTGCAAACCTGCTGAGGGTGCGCTCTGTCCCACTGTCCAGGTAACTTATGAAGATGGTAAACCATGTTGGCCCCAGTGTCAATCCCCAGTGTACACCTCTGGTGAGTGGCCTCCAGATGGACTTTGTGTTGCTGATCACAGTCCTTTCAGCCAAGCAGTTCAGCCAATTTTCCATCCAACTCACTGTCCTCTTACCTAGTCTGTACTTAGTCAATTTGCCAGTGAGGATGTTATGGCAGTGTTAAAAATCTTGCTAAATTCAAGATAAACAACATCCACTGCTCTCCCCTCATGCACCACACTAGTCACTTTGTCATAGAAAGCTACCAGGTTGGTCAAGAATGATTTTCCTTTCCTAGGCCTATGCTGACTAGTCCTAATCACCTCTTGTACTTCATGTGTTTGCAAATGGTATCCAGGATAATTTGTTCTATCCTTTCCCCAGGTAATGAGGTGAGGCTGACCAATCTGTAGTTCCTTCTTG